AATTTTTGAATTTTTATTTTTTATATTTACGTTTTTACATTTTCGTACTTTTAAATTCTTACATTCTTACGTTTACGTTTTAAATATCTGAGTTTTAATTTTTCTATGTTTTTCATTTAAATTTTTGCGTACTTAAAGTCCAAAGTTTCAAATTTTTGTTAATTTTGAATTTGTTACTTTTTACGGTTCTTTTTTCTTACGTTTATATCTAAAAATAATGTCATTTTCGACATAATTTAGTGATTTTAGGGTCTATTTTAGCAAAATCTTTCTCAAAAACACCATTTTTGCCCTAGTTTGGTAATTTTAGGCCCATTTTTGACGAAATTTTACAAATTCACTCCAAAAATATTTATTCATTTAATTACTCTCAAATGGAATGATTTATTTATCGGCAAACAGCGACTGCAACTCGCAATGATCGGGGGGACACCGGGGCTCCTTACACGGATCACAAAGGGGCTTCTCGTGCAAAACCCCATCAATCAAGTCCATGGGCCGCCCCCCCACATACTCCCCCTTCTTAATCTCTTCAGCCAAAATCGGAATCGCATTCTCCAACAAACAAGTCTCATAATCACTCAATTCGGGCAGCCCCAAATTCTTCGCCACGCCCCCGGGCCCCAACAGGACCGGACTCACCATATACTTCAACTGGGGGTGCACATTCGACTTGACATACGTACACTCAACTACGTCATTTTGCCCCCGAGCTGCCTTAACCAATGAGATGACAAAACGCGAAATCGAGAAGGCGTTGCACAAATAAGCGCCATCTGACCGCACTTTATGCAAATTCTCATTGGCTTTTCGCACACTGATTGTGACGTCTTCGAGCTCTTCCTAGAGAGAGAGGGAGTGAGAGAATGAATTGGAGGGAGAGAGAGGGAGAGTACGTTTGTGAGGTCGTTACAAGGGGTCGCTTTTGACAGCACGGGCACGATGGTTTTTTCACTATGGCCGCCCACGACTGGTACCATCACACATTCTGGTTCCAGACCCAGAATTTCAGCCACAAACTTGTTGGTTCTCACCACGTCGACTGTTGTAATGCCAAAAATGGTGTAAGGGTTGTAATGGCCGTATTTTTTCATGATTTCGCTGAACATTGGTACCATACTGTTGATGGGTTCCACGCCAATGGCTACGGTGGACTTGAGCGCCCTCTATTGACCACAATTCTAATAGTGAGTGGGCTTACCTTTGGCGCAAACTTGGCAATTCTTGTGGCCAGGTCCTTGACAATTGGGGCATTCCGGTCGAATAAATTCGCGTAGTTTTGTGCCTCTGTAGTGTGACGAAAACACGATAAAATCACAATAATGTTGGATTTCTACGAAAAAACCTCAGTTTTTAGCCCAGAAACAAACCAAATCGTACAGTTAAAGCCTTGTGTATGTCCTTGTTTCCGAAATATGACGTCACGCGACACTTTGTGTCAACATAATTCAAGTCGTTGGTGAATCCCTCGAGGGATTGAGTGTCGTAGAGGCAGAGTTCGTCGATGAAAGGGCTCTGTTTCAGCATCAAACTCATCGATTTGCCAGTGTTGCCTGAAAAAAACTCAGTTTTGGTCACAAAATGGGGGAGTTACCTGCTGCTCCCAGAATTGTTACTTTCATTGTTGTGGAACTGCTGCTATAGTGGAGGAGGGGGTTTGGGCCGTTTCCCCTCTGGGTGAGGGCTTTGAGGCCGTGTGAGAGGAGTTTAGTGACTGTTGCCATTTCGGTGCTTTACTTCAATTTTGAAATTTCAGAAAATGTGTCAAAAATGCCTACTTTTTTCGACTTCTACGTCGATTTTTTTCCTTTTTTGTTTTTAAATTTTTGTTTTTTATTTAATTTTTACA